ATAGTTCCAAATTGCTCTCCAAAATGGTTGGATCATTTCAGAACTCCACCAACAATGCATTGGTGTTCCAATTTTCCCACATTTTTCTCCAACATTTATTATTTTCCTGTTTTGTCATGTTGGCCAATCTGTTAGGTGTGATGTGGTACCTCAGAGTTGTTTTGATTTGCATTTCTCTAATCAATAATGATTTAGGGCATTTTTTCATATGACTATAGATGGTTTTAATTTCTTCATCTGAGAACTGCTTGTTCATATCCTTTGACCATTTAGCAACTGGGGAATGACTTGTATTTAGAATATTTTTAAAGGTATAAAATAAAAAAATAAAATACATAGGATTACAAAGGAAACCAATTATATTGAAATATGGTTATCAAAATGATTTTTTAAAAAATACCAAATTCTCAGACCCTAGGTTAAGAATCCCTTTTCTTGTCTCATTTATTTATTTATTGCTGTTAACATATTGAGTTTACTACACCCAACACCATTTGGGTCTTGATTACCCTTTGAGTCACCTACAATTTTGGTTCTCTGAAGTCCACAGGCCTAGGATTCATAACTACATAGCAATACTAGAAGAATATTGATGTTGGTGGATTTTTGAGTCAGAGAGTGGTTGCTGATTCTTAGCATCTTTTATCCATTTCCACCACTCCAAAATGGTACAGTGGAATGTTATAAATATTTTATGTATCCTTATTGTACATGTTGTCTTCCCAATAGAATATAAACTCCTTGAGGGCAAGGATCATTTCATTTTTGTCTTTGTATCTCCAATAAGTGCTTAATAAATGCTTATTGATTAATTCATTGACCTAGGTTTGAATCCCAGTTCTGCCACTTGCAACCGTGGGTAAAATTGCTTAACCTTTCTGAGTCTCCGTGTTCTTATCTGTAAAATCAGGAAGGTTTCTCTAAACCTGTGATCATCTCATCACTGCTGAAGGAGAAGGGGATAAGGTGAGGCTAAGGACCACTCTTGTTGGACTGCATTGGCTGAAGAAATGATCACCTCATGGCCAGTCCTCTGATGGCCAGTGTCTGGATTTGGCTGGTCCTTGAAAAGCAGACACAGTATACAGTAACAGCCATGGTGCATGATGACTAACTTTGATAGACTTAGCCCTTCTCAGCAATGCAAGGATCTAAGACATCTCCAAAAGTCTCATGATGGAAAATGCTATCCACATCCAAAGAAAGAACTGTGTAGTTTGAACGTAGATTGAAGTATACTATTTGTTCTTTCTTTTTCTTCTGTTTCGTTTTGTTTCCTCTTTCTTGTGGTTCCTCCTATTGGTTCTAATTCTTCCTTACAACATGACTAATGTGAAAATATGTTTAATAGGAAAGTATTTATATAGCCTATATAAGATTGCATGCTGTCTTGGGGAGGGAGGTGAGGAGGGAAGGAGAGAAAAATTCAAGACTCAAAAGCTGATGGAAGTGATTGTTGATAAATCAAAATAATTTAATTAAAAAATACTTATTAAATAAAAAAAAAACAATATGCACACTTTGAAGTGCTATAGAGGGCATCCCTAAATTCACAGAGCAGTTTTAAGCTTTAATTGCTATCATCATCATCATTCAGGTGCTACGGGGGACCTTGAGCTGGGCTCCGAACTGGATAATAATGATAACTCACATTTCTATAGATTAGTGGTTCTCAAACTTTCTGGACTCAGGACCTTTTACACTATTAAGAATTATTGAGAACCCCTCCCCCAAAGAGCTTTTGGTTATGTGAGTTATATCTATCGATATTTACTATATAATGTTGGACTTCTCAATGAGAGGGGAGGGGAGGGAGAGAGGGAATTTGAAACTCAACTTTTAAAAACAAATGTTAAAAATTGTTTTTACATGTATTTGGGAAAAAATAAAATATTAAATAAATATTAAAAAGAACTATTAAAAAAAAAGCAGACACAGACTGTCAGTGGGTATGTGCTCCAAGCCTCTGAGCCTGGCTCAGCAGAGCCTGACAGACTCCGCTCCATGAGTACACTCTTTTAGAGCCCAGGGTCACCTCCACGCTATGCTAAAGCATCAGAGCAGCTCCTTCTGTGGAGGAGCCCTGCTTGCTACAATTAAACATATTTGTAGTCAGTACAACCAGGACTCAAGACTCGAGTCTCTGGAAAACACTTTACAAAGGTGCTGAAGCAATGAGTTAGGACTTTTCTTTTGCAAGGACACATAATGGAAGAGTGGAAAAAAACACTGGACTTGGGAGTCAGAGAAACTGAGTTTGATTCCTAGCTCAGGTATTTACTGATTATGTGACCTGAGGCAAGCACTGAATCTCTCTGAACCTTAATTTCTTTTCTGTAGAATGGGGATAATAATATTTGTGCTACCTACCTCACAGAGTGGTTCTGAGGGAAGCTTGTTCTAAACTTCAAAGTGCTATAGAAATAGAAATTCTATCACTTAGATAATAGATTTAGAGCAAGAAGGGACTTCCAAGTCCAGCTAGTTCAATCCTCTCATTTTACAAGTAAGGAAACTAAGGCGCAGAAGGTCCAAATGATTTGCCAAAGATCACAAAGGTAGCAGGCATCAGAGACTGGGTTTGAACCCAGGACCTCTGACTCCACTATGGCATTGCCTCCCCCATACCACATTGCCTCTTCTCCCTTAGGCTGAAGTTTCTACCATGATTTCACACATAGGGTGCCCCAATCTCTCTCACCCAGTTCCAACTGCCTTCTCAGTCCCGTGTCCCCCAACCTGCCCACTAAACAGAGAAGGGCAGAAAAAGGTTTATCATTTTCTTTATTTCTCTACCCATAGTACTTAGCATATGTTTTTGTCCTCATTGGGTTCTCCAAGCAAGAATCCTGTAAGGACTGACTTTAACAAATGTTTCCTTCATACCCTGTTTTGCACAAGACACTAGAAGCCATAAGATCACAGGCCCATAGATTTCTCCAAAGAAAGGTCTCAGAGGCCATCTGGTCCAATCTCTTCATTTTATGGACGGAGTCACATAGGCAGGAAGCGTCAGAGAATGAATTTAAACCCAGGTCTTTGAAGTCAGAAATAAAACAGACGATAGTCTGTGATCTAAAGGAGCTCATAGTTGTCAGAATAAAAAGAATATTGGCTGGAGATGGTTTTGGGTCCTAACACTGACCAAGGCATGAGGGCCTTCTTTCAGGCTCTAGTATTCTTTCAGTGATGAAGTTGGACTGGGTGATCCCTGAAGTGCCTTGAAGCTCCTAACATTCTATATTTTACATGCCAAAGTGAAAATTCTGGCTCAAGGCACAAAGTAGAAAAGCTTGGCCTTTTCTGGGAAAGAATGAAATGGAGAGACAGCTAGGGGAATCAGTGGATAGAGCACTGGCCCGGTAGCCAGGAGGACCTGAGTCCAAATCTGGCTTCAGACACTTTGACCCTGGCCAAGTCACTTACCCTTGATTGCCTAAAAAAAAAAGAAAGAAAGAAAGAAAGGAAAGAACGAGATGTTCAGTTGTCCAGGATATCTGGATATTTGCTATGCGTAGCAGCAGCCTTGAGGGAAGGGAAGGAGCCTGTATGATGCAGCTGCTCTCACAGACATAATGTAGCCTCAGGATGGAACATCACTCTGCTGACTAAGTGCTCCAGGGACAAGAATTTTAAAAATGTAAAGAAAGTCAGAGGTTAGCAACAGGAAGGAAGAAGAGGAAGTCGGCAGGCGAGGTTAGGCTACCTCTCTGGAGCCGGCTGGGCAGATTTTCAAAATGCCAGATTACACTTTCCATCGTGGAAAACATAAAGTCCTCTAATTTACTCAATAAAATTTTAATTCTACCTTACAGCAAGATGAGGATGGGGCAAAGCTTCAGGATTCTTTTACCAGCTCAACAATCTCATCCTGCCCTCCTTCCCCCTAACCCCTTTCTGGTCCACCCTCCCTCGGTCAGTATTAGCCGGCCGGAGCATTCAGTGTAACCTTAAGCAGAGACTGGCTGCTGCTTTAAAACGAGAAGCATTGTCAATACCAGGAGTCCCAGCAAGAGCAGAGAAAACTGCAGCTAATGTCTACTTGGCTGGGAGCACGGACAAGTCACTCCATGTCTGAGACTCTCAGTTTCCTCACTGCTATCAGCTGTTATTAAGTGCCAACTGTGTGCCAGGCACTGTGCTAAGCACTGGGGATACAAAATCCATTATTAGATTGCAAGCTTCTTCCGGGCAGGGCAAAAGACTGTCCCTGCCCTGAAGAAGCTTACAATCTAATAATGGACAGAAGAGAAAAAAGGAGAACGATAGCTGGACTAGATCTCTAAGTTCCCTTTACTGATGTAAATCCTGTGCTATATTTGGGACGATATTCCTGGGTCATACTTTCATGTCAAAAAATATACACGTATCTGAGTGGTATGGGGATATATGTGTATAAATCATATATATGTAAATATTCATATATGGGGGTATGTGTTCTGGCCTGTTTTATTACAGGAAACACCTAGAAGTTGCAAAAGGGTAGAAAAAATAATGGACCATTTCAGGAATGGGGATGGATTACAAAAGGAGTGAGGAAAGAAAATGGAAAACCCAGTCATAGGATGGTGGAATTTTAAAAAGTGCAACGCCTTCAATTTGCAGAGGAAGAAACTGAGGCTGAGAGAGGCTGCCCATTGGAGCCAAGATTCCATCCAAATTCCATCGCTCTTTTCACTCTGTCATGTGGCCTCTTCCCAATGCAGTAGTTATTTACGGCATGCACTGTGTGGTAGGTTCTGGGGACATGGAGATTAATGATGACACAGCGTCATATCCTGAAGGAACTTAGGTTCTAACAGTCTCTTTTTCCATCCACTAAATAACAAATCCCAAGCCAACACATATTTAAGCAGAGTGTCAGATCTAGAATGAAAAGGTCTGGATTGAAATCCTGACTCAAACATGAACCAGCCGTGTGGATCCCAGGAGGAAAGTAACTTATTATCTTATCCTTATTAGAGTAGCCATAGCAGTAGGGCAGGCCTGGAGTCAAGAAGACTCATCTTCCTTAGTTCAAATTTGGCCTCAGATACTTACTAGCTGTGTGACTCTGGGCAAGTCACTTAACCCTGTCTGCCTCAGCTTCCTCGTCTGTCAAGTGAGCTGGAGAAGGAAATGGCAAACCACTCCAGTATCTTTGCCACCCCAAATAGGTTCACAAAGAGTCAGACATGACAGGAATGATTATACACCAACAGCCACAGCAGCAGCTGGGAATAGTTGTAACAAGATAACACATCCAACTTGACCTAACTGCATAAACAGACTAAATTTCGAGGTATGGCTAGATTAGCAGAATCTTTGCTTTCCCTCAGTAAGGATCACATCACAGATTCTGATCCCAGAGCTCAAAAGTATCAGCTATAATTCTGTTGACCTTTGACCAAGTAGCTATATTTCTGAATTCCTGCTGCATTAAAGAGCCCAGTGACTGAAGCATGCTTCAATCTGAGATACATACGGTTAGAAGTGAGTTTATCTGCTCCTCCTAGAGCGTTGAATGCTCCATGAATGTTCTGAACCTAGAGACAAACATAGCTTGTGTCAATCATTTCTACAGAAGATCAGAGGAATCAGGAGACATTTATCATAGGATCTTAGACGGTGATTTAGTGCAAGGGTTCTTAACTTTTTAGTATCAGGAATACCTTTGTCAGTCTGCTGAAACCTGTAACACCCTTTTCAGAACTCTCTGTTTTTTTAAAGACTAGGTCTCTCTATCCTAGACGACAAAAGAGAGATACTAAAAGATCTTGACAAGTTAAAATGAGAGGGCAAACTAATGAGATGAATTTTAACAAATAAAATGTAAAGTCCAAGAAAATCAACTTCATGTGACAAAGAGAAGGGTAGTGTGGTTAGACACCAGTTCATGTGAAAAAATATTTGGGCATTTTAGCAGATGGCAAGCTTGATGTGTACTAACAGTGCAGCATACTAGCCAAAAGAGCTGATGGAATCTCGGCTTCATTAAAAGAGGATTAGCATTCAGGGCAAAGGAAGTAACAGCCCTGCTATCCTCTATCCTGGTCAGACCATATTTTTGCTATTAAATGTTCAGTTTAGGGCATCAAGTTTTAGGAAGGTAATTAATTAACAAGCCGGAGAATATCAAAGAGGGTGATGGAAATAATAGATGGGCTTGAGATCATGCAGTGAGGATTGGTTGAAGGAACGGGAGGTGTTTAGCTTGGAGAAGAGGAGACTTGGGGTGTTGAGGGAGGGCAGGGACAAGATAGATGTGTCTTTAAGTAATATGAAGAGCTTCCACATAAAGATTAGACTTGTTCTGCTTGATGCCAGGGATCAGAGCCAGGATGTTGCAGAGAGACATATTTAGGCTCTATGTAAGGAAAAACTTTCTAGTGATTAAATCTGTTTTAGATTGTAATTGGCTATCTCAGACCACAGGAGGTCCATAATCACTGGAGGTCTTTGGATGAGGTAGGATGACCATTAGTCAGAGACAGAGAAATAAAGCATTTATTAACTACTTATTATGTATTGTGCTAAGTGCTGGGGATACAAATTCAAGTAAAAAGAAAGATAGTCCCTGCCCTCAAGAAACTTACATTCTAATGGGATAAAATAACATATAAAAGGGAGCTGAAAATCAAAGAAGGATGGAGGGGATGGCTATGGGCTAGTTAGAAACTTAGTAGTCCAGAAAGTCAAGGTGTGAGCTAGAGCACAAGTGAGCTTTGCCACTGTGGATCCTTACTCAAATGAAGGTTCAGGGAATAACTCATCACTACTCAGAGGTGGAGGTGTTGCCAAGACAGAAGGTACCTGGGGTGCAAGTAGAAGAGTCAGAGAGATGCCAGGTCAGGAGCTGAGTCAGGTTAAAAGTTAGTACTGCTGGCATTCCTCAAATTTAAGTTCTGGGGAGGAACTCAACAGCTGGAGAAGCAGATTTTATAGATGGAATAACTGTTTAGGTATGCCTTAAAATACATGATCTTTGTGGTCCTTTCTAACTCCAAGATTCTATGATGCCACCCATTTTAATACTTGTTCTTCTAGGTCAAATTTCTTTAATGTCTATACCTTTTGTGTTAATTTATCCATTACACGTCCTTTCTCCTTGGCCCCCTGGAAAGTGTCTACCTTACTATTCAAATAAGATAATTTAATGAATTCCTTTAGTTTCTCATGATATCTTAAAATATTTAAAGAACAATTAACACTACTTGAAGAATTTCCAGAAGAGCACTTTACTGAAAAATGGAATGAAACAGTTTGGTGTCTCTCAAAAGACAAGAATATGAAAGGAGTTTTGCTGAAACATTCCCATGCCAACAAAGACCTTTCATCATTGCACGTTATTGGTCTTTCAACTTTAGAAATCTGTCTTCTTATAGCAATGAAACATTTAAATGGCATTTATCAGGATGAATCGTTTAACTTTCAATGGTCTATAATGAATTTCAGAAGTTTATCCAAAGGAAGTCCCATTCAGTTTATAATTTTGAAAAAACTTGTCTTGAAGGCATTTGAATACTACTAGAATTAGTGACAGCAATGGAGAGAATTATCAGTAAATACAAAGAGAGAATACCAACTGGTGAAATTGCTTTTGGACAGTAATCAAATTATGGACGCTCTACAAAGGTATTCAAATTGCCCTACAGATGTCAACCAGTGGATAGCATCTTCATTGAGCTGGTTGTGAATGACCAGCAGTTTAGGTATCTAAATAAATCAAATTATGTCCCCAGACATCCCAGGGTCATAAAAGTTAGCATTATGACTTGTAAAATCTCTTCTATGATAGAGCATTTTCTATAAGATATATTCTATAGGTAGTCTTTAGCAAGCCCCTCCTTAAAATTTAAAAGATAATAGAAACTTGAGTTCTTACAGATTAATTTACTTACAGATGAATTTATAGGTCATCTTTATGCATCTGACTTACTCAGCTGTTGAAACAACTTTGGATTTTGGTGTCTGTTAAGGATGATTTTTGTTTTATTTAGATTTCAAAGTTTGTGATTCTGTTTGCCTTGATGTGTGTTCATATGCATTTGAGGAACATGTTTTTAGTTAAAATATTAGAAAAGAATAACATTTAATCATCTTATCAAAAAGTATATATACATAATGGCACATGGTAAGCACTACATAAATGTTAATTATTCTTGTTACTTTACTGAACAGTTCAATGGTCACTATATGTCTCTTGCTACAATGAAGAGATCTCTCTTCTCCACTACACCTGATAATGTCAACAACTTCCTTCTGGACACTCTTAAACCTGGACTTTTGTGACTCAATGGACTTTCCTCTTTCCTCTCGGGCTCTTTTCCCTGTGTTCATTTTCTTCCCTTTGCCAACTGAGGCTGACCACAAAGTTGTTCATACTGCTTCTCACAGATTTCCACTCTCTAGGAGCTTTGTCTATTCACATTATATTCGAATACTTCCTGTATAGACAGAGCTCCCAGATCCAAATCTCTAGCCTTTAACTCTGGCTTTCTTCTAGAGTCCCACATTTCTAGCTGTCTAAGGACACAAGAACATTTGATTGAGAGGAGGGATACAGGCAATTTCCTCTCTAACAATTAATCAATAAAGACTTATTAATCACCCCCTATTATGTACCAGGCATCATGCAAACCAAGAAGAGGCTCAAATATAAAAATATAGGGATAGGAACTAGATCTTGTGACTTCATTGGTGTAGCCCTCTACCAAAGCAAGACCTTTGCTGTGACTTTTAATCTAAGAGGGTTCCCTAGAACACTCAGATATTAAATGATTTGCCCAAAGTTACCTAGTTGGTATGTGCTAGAAGTGTAGAAGTGGGCTTTGAACCTAGGGCTTCATGGTTCCAAGGTCAGCTCTCTATTATCCCATGCTGCCTCTCATAGAAAAGCACATAATGAAAAAGTATATAATAATAGATAACATTTATATAGCATCTACTATATGCCAGGCATTGTGCTAAGCATTTTCCATTTATTATCTCACTTGATCCTTACAACAACCCTAGGAGGTAGGTGTTATTATTATTATTATTATTCTCACATTACAGATGAGAAAACTGAGGCAAACAGAGATTACATGCTTACTTGCCCAGGGTCACAAAGCTAGGCAGTGTCTGAGGCTGGATTTGAACTTCAGTCTTCCTGACTCCAGGTCTGGTGCTCTATCCACTGTGCTACCTAGCTGCCTCTGAATGTACAAAATAAATACAAAGTGATCTATGGAGGCTGGATGGAGCAGATCAGGAAGGACTTCATAGAGATTCTAAGAGGCAGAGGGTGAGATGAGAGTACATTCAAGGCATGGATGACAGCTGGTGAAGAAATGGGAGAGAGAACATCTTGGATGAGGAACAACAAAGTGGAAACTTTGAGAAAACAAAGAGGAAACAACAACTGGCTAGATTATAAAGTATGTCAAGGGAGACTATATATAAGAAGTCTGGAAAGGCAGGCTGGGCCCAGCTTGTGACCATCTTAAAATGCCTAACACAGGAGTCTGTATTTGATCCTGGAAGTCTTAGGGAGCCACTGGAGTTTCCTGAGTTGAGGAGTGATGTGGTCAAACTTGCACGTTGGCAGCCATGTGAAGGCCAGTTAGGGAGTGGGAGGAAACTTGCAGCAGGGAGGTCAATTAAAGAGGCTATAGTTCAGGGAAGAGGCGATGAAAAAGTGACCTCAAAGCCACTGTACTGGCCAAAAATCTGTCACTTCTTTCAAATATTTCCACTGCTGTCAATACCAGCAATTCAATATTCCCAGGCCACCAATCTTAAAACATTGGATTCATTTTCCATTGCTCTCTTTTAACTCTTAGATCTCATCTATCCTCAAGCCATTCTCCTCCCCCACTCCACCCCCCCCTTCCCACTCTTCCCCGTCCTCCACTGTCAGCTCATCACAACAAGGCTCCTAGTCCAGTCCCTCATGTCTTCATACCTAACCCAGTGTTAGTGTCTTCAGCCTCTCCTTCCTCCAACACATCTTACATTTGCATGCAGAGGCTATCATGATCATCTTCACATATTTAGTCTATTTTTTAATGACCTCCAAATTCTGTCCCTTCCTCTACCCCCTCCCCCACCTACTGGGAAAGCAAGGAATATATTTTCAATTATATGTGCGAATTTGTCTATCTTTAAAAGCTAGAAAGGATACGTGCTATTATTATCCTCATTTTACAATTGAGGAAACTGGGGTAAACAGGATTTTTACAAACATATTTAGAATAGGGATTTTTTTTTTGTCTCTGTGCCCTTTGGGTAGCACACATAGTTGGCACCCCATAAGTATCAGCTGACTATTTCTATGGAAACTTATGAACAAGAAATGGCATAGGAAACATCACCAAAGACATACAGGACTGGAAAAGGAGGTGGGTTAGTCATGTCATCGGAATAAGGGATATCAAGATGCCTGTGCTGGCAGCTTCACTGTGGTCTGGAGTCACAGGCCCTGGATTCGGATCCTGGCTCCACTGATTCTTTCCTATGTAAAGAGAGGGTCACTTCAGATAGCCTCTAAGGTTCATTTTAACTCCAGATCTAGGATTGCCCGAAGTCCCCCAGTGTCTTGGGTCAATCCTCTAAGGAAGATCTTACAGAGGTGCTGGGACAAGAATCTCACAGGATAAAAAGATGTAGGTGGCCTGCCCTATGCCATGGTAGAAGGACTGCCCATTCCAATGAGATGGGAGATCTGCTGAAGGATAATTATGAGTGTGGACTGCTGTACAAGGGAAATTTGGGGAGGCCTGGTCCCTGGCCCTTCAGTGGAAAGAACAGAACTAGGAAAGCAATGGGCAAGATCTCACAAGAACAATTAGCAAATATAATTTCTCTACCCTCAAACCTTTTCCAAAGAAAAACCATGAAGCTTGAAAAGTGCCTAAAGTAATTTTTACATGAGAGAATAGAAAGTTTATGATTGGTCAGCACATGCTTGGATGTGGCTGGCCATGCAACAGGTTGTTAAGATTACAATAGCATGAGCTGTTCACGCTGGGCAATCAAATGAATAGAGTGATTGGGAAACTAGCAATGGAACTATGGAATGTGTGTGTGTGTGTGTGTGTGTATACACATGGGTACATAAGAGAAAAAAATACAACACCAAGGCCTTGTGAGGTCAAATCAAAGCAGGTTATAGGAGTGCAGTAGAACAAGTAGGCCCACGTGGGAAATCAGGGTTTGCACCAAGTTAAAGGCCAACCTAGCTGAAGCAGGAGGATGGAGGAAATATTGAAGTTCATCTTGGGGGACTGAGAAAGGTAGAACTGACTTTCTTTAGAAGAATTCTAAATAAACTTGCTAGGGGGAAAAAAGGAAGAAGTTACCTCCTGATAAAATCAAGAACAAACTAAGGCTTTTCTTCCTTAGGTCTACTCCCTGACTAAAAAGGGTGGTGGGGTACAGGAGACATCTAACCCCTCTTGGCTCTTCCCCACCCACAATTCCACTCCACCCACCAATGGCATACCCTTTTTAGTGCATGAGGCCATCAGCAAAAAGCTTCCTCCCAAGGGTAAATGTAATCCACCCCTTAAATGACCCTTTCCATCCATACTCCCCATTGCACTTAAAAATAACAAACCTCTCTTGGTCTCAGTGTCATAAGTTCAAGTCACTGGGGTCTGAGAACTCACCTGCAATGTGTCTCCAAAGGACAGCTTGTGTATGACATGAGTCATGTCTGGATTCTGGGGCTGTGCAGTGGCACTGTGTGTTGATACATGAAAGTTGCCAGGGACCTATTTGGGCCGATAACCCACAGGGCAAAAAACACAGGAAAAACAAGCTTTTAGAAAAAATGTCCCCTTCCCTCCCCTCCCCTCCTGATTCTATCTATGGGAAGTAGGGCAGAAATCATGGAACTTGATTATGTCTTATTCAAACTGGGATGTCAAGAAGGACTCTAGGCTATGGTCCAAATATTAGGATGCTTCCTAGGTAAGAGAAAAGGGAACAAGCATTTATTTAGTGCTCACTGTATGCCAGGCACTGTGCTAAGCTTTACAAGTATGATCTCACCTAGGGGGAATAAGGTGTCTTCTCAAAAGACACTGTGGGAGAGTGAGGGGAAGTGCCTATAGCAGGTGGGAGCCTTTGAAGACAATGATGTCTGCATTCCTTAAGCTCCCTGAGGGCAGGGCCAAAGTATCTGACTGCCTTTCTTTGTACTGCCAGCATGTGGCACCTAGTAAGGGCTTAATAAATCCTTGTTGACTGTGTGTATGTATGTGTATATATATATATATATATATATATACATATTAATTTTATACAAATTTTAAATCTTCCTCAGTACTTACCATAGTGCTCTATGGATAGCAGATGCTTAATAAATGTTTGTTAAACTGCCCACATCAATGATGAATGAATCTACACTTCAATTGAGTGATCAACTAGACCTTAATTGTTCCAAAGACCAAATGGTCACAAATTCATCACCTCTTGCTCCTAACTGGGCTTCTTTGGTGGAGTTTCTCTCCTGTCCACATCATCTTCCACAAAGCTGCTAGATTGATATTCCTAAAGCACAGACCTGAGTAGGTCACTCCCTTGATCAACAAGCTCCAGAGGCCCTATTGCCTCTAGTATCAAATACGGACTCCTTGGCTTGTCACTTAAAGTCCACCATGATCTGGCTTCCATCTACCTTTCCGGCTTATTACACATTACTCCTCTACTACATTTTACACTTTAGCCAAACTGATCTACTTGTTTGTTCTTATCACAAGATACTCCATCCCTGCTGCCACACCTGGAATATCTCTTCATCTCACCTCTGCCTCTACGGAGCTCTGGATTCCTTCAAAACCCAGTTCAAGTGCCATTTCTTACATGAGGTCACCCTAGCCCTGGTTGGCTTTCTCCAACATTACTCAGTGTTTAGCTTTGCACACATTTATTTATATTTATCCTCCAAATTGGAACACCAGAAGCCATGCCTGGGAGGAGCTAAGACATTCAGCTTTGCACTCCCTGAGACAAGAAATGGCCATTCTCTTGCCAGCCTCCCAACTCTCTTTTTTCTCTAAGATGGGGACTGAACCTATAGTCTACTGACTTACAGAACTCCCAGATAAGCTATCTCCTTCTACTAATGCAGATTGGGACTCTCTTAGAGGGTAAAGTGAGTCATCACAGTATACCATCAATATGTGTTAAAGAGCAGACTTGAATCAGGTCTTCCCAGCTCTGAGATCATCTACCATATTCCAAAGCTACTTCTCAGGAGAGATGTAATCAAATTACCACTACCATTGCTTCTGGAAAGAATGTGTTAATGGACTTCTCTACTGGGACAGCTAGGACTCATCTTCCTGAGTTCAAATCTGGCTTCAGACACTTACTAGTTGTGTGACCCTGGGTGAGTCATTTAACCCTGTTTGTCTCAGTTTCTTCATCTGTAAAATGAGCTGGAGAAGGAAATGGCAAACCACTCCAATATCTTTGCCAAGAAAACCCCAAATGAGGTCACAAAGAGTCAGACGCAACTGAAAAACCACTAAACAACAATTGTTCCACTCACCATCTTTGTGACTTCTTGGACCATGAATCCCTTCCCTGGCCACTACTCCCCATGTGTATGGTCCACTCCCCCCTCCCCGCCTCCCCTGTTAGAATGTCCTTGAGAGCAAGGACTATTTCACCTCTGCATTTGGTTCGCTAGCATTTAACATAGTCCTTGGCATGTAGTAAATGCTTAATCAATAGCTTTTATCCATTTATTCAATTACTTATATGTGAGTATCTTTTTTCTATCAAAGTAATATAAGCTTGTTGAGGCAGATACTGTTCTATTTTTACTTCTGTTTTTCCAGCACCAAGCAGAGGGTGTGGCTCACAGTAAGTGCTTAATAAATGCTTGTTGAACAAATATCTATGGCTTTCACTAGGATCCCATGAGCTCTAGAGCCTTCTTCATCAGATAGAGGTCTGGGCAATGAGATTCATTAATTTAAATGATTCAAAGAGGTCCCCATACTTGATATTTGCATCTGAATCCCTGGGACTTCCCCCCCCAGCAAGTCTGACTTGATAATGTATTTCTATATTAGTTTCTCTCCCACCCTCTCCCCTGCCCCCTCACCAGGACACTGATAACATCACAGTTTGATAGAATTGGGTGACTCACAAAAGCAAGTGCTGGCCTGCAGAAATGAGGGATTGAGGGCATGTGATTTATAAACCCACGCAGCCTTCACTAATGGACTTAAAAACATATGGTGCCAATCATATAATGCCTGCCTAAATCCTGACTACCTCCTGCTGACTCAGTGAGTCAGTTAACTCCAAAAAAATGCTACCCACCGAGGTTTCAAACTGTTTCAACCAAGTCGTTGAGTTGCCAACACAGTTTGAAATATTCAAGTCCTAACATCATTTGTTTTAGATGTATGGTGGCGATTCTGACTTTCCAGCATATTAACTTGCTTATAAATTCAAATTAAGCTCAGTTCCCCATAGTCTAAAGGTAGGCAATGGAAGGAGGGAAATTCACCAGCCCCTTGAAAAGTTTGATACAAAAAGAGAGGGATCAAAGACATCAGTTATTCAAATTCCTGAGACAAAAATAGCCATCCTTAAGCTTCACAACTAATGTCATTACTTTAAAGTTACTATCTTTCAAAAGTTACTGGTAATAATAACTGACAAAAGGAGAGCACTTTAAAGGGAGGCAGAGAAGTGTAGCGGTTAGAGTTTTCCTCAAAGCCAGGAAGACTGGGAGTTACAGTACTCCCACTGATGTCACCTTCCTGTGTGACCCAAGCTGGGCTCCAAGGGCTGAACTCTCTAAGTCACGGAGGAGGTGCCAATCTTCAACGATAGAGGGGGTTTCTTCATTCGATCTGGACCCAGTCTTGAAGACCCAGAAAGTAAAGGTCTTGCCAGCAAAAGTCCTTGGCACCAGAAACTGATAGAATTTTACTAGTGGAAATAACACTCAGGAAGAGGCACTGCCATCTGCTTTGCTAGCTGCTGAAACCTTTCATTCAGGGTTATCTCCTTCATTAGAATGTAAACTTCTGGAGAGTAGGACTGTCGTACTTTTCTGTTTGTATCCCCCATAGCACAGTGCTTTACACAAAGTATTTAATCAATGCTTTATTCCTCAGGTCTGGTCCCTTTGTGCAAATTAGCTTATATACATATATTATCTCATTTAAACCTCACAAAACTGATAACTACGTACTACAGGTTTAATGTTCCTGCTTTATGGATGAGGAAATGAGTTTTAAAGAGGTCAGGTGACTTGTTCAAGGTGACACAGCTAGTGTCTAAGACAGGATTTGAACCCAAATCATCCTTTCAAATATAGCACTCTTCCACACAAGGGGGCCTTCTCCAGTCATCCTGATCTATGTCCTGCCATTGGACCCAAATGGCTGCAGTGGAAAAAGTGAGGCTGGTGACTTCTCCACAGCCCTGCCTCACTTAAATTCAATCAATTCACTTGCAAGTCACGGCATCACCTTCCTGATGCCACGGTCTTCTTTGAGAACAAAGGACAAACAACAACTTCTACACAATGTTGCCTTTCGTGTGTGTGTGTGTGTGTGTGTGTGTGTGTGTGTGTGTTCAAATCCTGTTTTCCTCAACGGAGCGTAAGCTCCCCGAGGATAGGTACAGTTTCATTTTTACCTCTGTATTCCTAAATACTAGTACAATGGCATCTAAGTGTTACAGTGGATGAAGTGCCAGGCCTGGAGTCAGGAAAACTCATCTCCCTGAGTTCAAATCTGGCCTCAGACACTTACAAGCTGTGCCAGTTAACCCTGTTTGCCTCAGTTTTCTTATCTGTAAAATGAGCTGGAAAAGGATATAGTAAACCAGTATCTTTGCCAAGAAAACCCTAAATGGAGTCACAAAAAGTTGGACACAACTGAACAACAACAACAAAAAGTACAATGGCTGGCACGCAGTAAATGCTAAATAAATGCTTGTTGAATGAATGAATGGAATAAGATCTACTGGGGGAAAGGCTCAGAGATACTGAGAGAACAGCTCATATTAACTCTGCGCAGACCAGGCCTATCAGTATCTAATGCAGAGCCACGGAGACTCTGACTCTGGGCAGAAATGTGTAAGTCAAATCCTGTTTTAGATGTCTGTAGAACATCTTCTTTAATTTCCCTTTGCAGGGTGAAATGACATAAATGAAATTTGAAACTCTTAATTTGTTCCCTGGAAAAAAGACAGGTTTATAGGTCATTCATACTTCTGTTTCCAATATGTTTTCTTTGGAAAACAAAGTTTATGAAACAGTCCTTTCAAAACTGAAATAGAATATGACCCCAGGGAAGAAAGGAAGACCACCAAGCTCCAGACTCAGGAGATCGACCTGGGGAGTAGATTGATTACTTTGGCATCCTACAAACTTTCCTTGCGTCCTCTGAGGAACGAAAGGTAGCATGGTATAGCTGGAAAGAAGGCTGGCCTTACAGTTGGGAAGATGTGGGCTCAATGTTCGAGGCAACTCTGTCAGTCTAAGTTATGGACAAATCTATGAGAGAATTTCTTAAACTGATGAAATCATAGATCCCAGATCCCCATAGATGCGAGATTCTGCACTACATTTCTCTCCCAGTCCCTTATTCTTGTATGGTGGCGGACCTTGGTTCTCAAAGGTTCCCAGAGGAATTGAAACTCTGGCAAAACCTACTACTGAGCAAGTCTTCGAGTGAGGGTCCAGTGAAATGGAAATCTTTTCAGCCCTCATGGAGCCTGCCTTGGTCACAAGGTGATGAGTCTTTTCATCACCAGTTGGCACTTGGTGCTCTTGAGCTATGATTGAGCTATGTGATGTAGGGTCTCACCAATGACCACTTCACCTGTGCTCCTGGCTTCTTCTAAGATTGTTTAGAGAAGCCAGAAATGAGGCTTCTTCTTAGCATGGAACAGAGTTCACATATAAATGACTAATGCTTAATTTTGACCTCTTGGCAAACCAGTTCAATGGTATATTGTCCTTTATTCTGGGATCCTCTTTTCCCTTGTCCTATCACTGATCAAGTGTTGTTAAATCACAATCCTTGATTACTCTCACCATCTGCCTCTTGCTTTACTTGCATGCTATTGAACTGAACTGGAGGAAATTATAAAACTAAGCAGACTACTACAAAGTTAATGCCAACTGTGCCCTTATTGCAGCAATGCAATCCTATTTCCCTTCCCTAACCAAGTCCCTAGTTCACTTACCACAGAAACTGTTCCACAAGTTTCCTTCTGTCCTCAAGCCCCCATTCTATCCCCCACCTCCAATCCCCATCTTTGTTGAGGACTTTGTTCTCAACATTTTCACAAAGTCCTCAACGTCAGCCAAGGGGTCTTTCTTATCCCTTCCTCCTCATCTCACAAACCCCTCCAAAATCAGCTCCTATTATCACCTCCTTCACACTTCAGTCTCTAGTGATGAGATAGCTTTGCTACTTGCAAAGGCCAACACCCTTACATGCACCCTTGATCCCACCTCCTCTGGGTCTCCTTCATCAGACTGCCCCTATCCAAATCCCTAGTCTCCATCTAATCTTCATCCTCTTATTATCTACTAGCACCTCCCCTGCTGCTTACAAACATGCCCAATCTTCCTATTCTTAAAATCTCTTGATAAATACTATCATACCTGCTAACCATTGTCCTGTATCTCTCCTCTTCTCAGCTAACCTCCTAGACAAAGTCATCTTCAATCACTGACCTCATCATTCAACCGATTATGTTCTCCACAAAGTTTCCAAAGGTATTTAACTGCAAAATTAACGACCTCTTATCAGTCCTAAAACTTTCCTACCTTTTACAACTCTGTCCTTTAGGCTTTATCCTGGGTCCTTTTTTCTCTATATATTTTCTCAGTTGATGAACTAATTCATTAGCCCCTAACTGAACCAGGGGTCAACTATCATCTCTATTAGATGATTCACAGATCTATTTGTCTAGCCCTAGTCTCTGGCTCTATAAACTATGTGTCCTATAGACGTCACAAACTCAACATGTTGAAAACTAATGGGGCAGCTAGATGACGTGGTGGATAGAGTCATTCACTTACTAGCTGTGTCATATAGGGTAAGCCACTTAACCTTTGTCTGCCTCACTTTCTGTAGCTATAAAATGGGAGTAATAACAGCATCCATTTCACAGGGTTATTGTGAAGATAAACGAGACCAGATATATAAAGTGCTTTTCAAACCTTAAAGCACTATATAAATGCTAACTTTTATTATTATTATTTTAATTATCAAACAGAGGATTGTCAACATTTTTTAAGCAGACTCTCTTCTGGATGAACTCCATAGTATCTCTTCTGAGTAGTACCAGTCCTTTAGTAGTATCAAGTTGCTGGGATCTGATACCCCCTCCCCTTCCTTCCCTAGGGGCAAATCAGGTAAAGAGACAGACTTGTGCAGCCCTGGGAATAAACTAATATAAATTAGGCTTTCCAGATAATTTCCAATAAACTTAACAATCCGTGATTCAACTTGGAGCCAAATGATGCAGCTAGATCAACAAGCAGCTGTGGGGAGTTGGGAGCGGAATGGAACAAAGAAAAAACATGAGACTTAGGGCTATCACTTCCCTTCCTGGAGCCTCAGTTTCCTCAACCATAAAATGAGAAGACTGGACCAGACTGAGCTAGTTTTGAGGCTCCAGGGCTTAGAAAAGTGCCTGGCACATAGTAGACATTTAATAAATGTTTATTGATGGACTGATTCCTTCCAGAACTAAATCCTAGGATTATACGAACCTACTTAATGGGCACATGGCCTATAGAATTTTTCAGGTATCCTGTTTTGTTTTTTTTAGAGCCATATCCTAGAATTATACTTTTTAGCTGGTTTCAGTAATAATGATTCTATTGACCACAAGATCAGGCTATGATTCCAAAGCAGCCTGACATATCTCCAAGCCTGGAACCACCTAAAACCCGTGGCCCAGAGAATGAAGCAGCAAGATTGCCATGAATATACTCAGCCCTGTAGTGGCTCTTATCCAAGGGAGGTGGTACCACACAGTAATTTGGTTTACAGGAAGAAGGCCAGGGAATAGGAGGAAGATGGCAGGAAGAGACCTAACATCTCCAGTCACCTTGTTGATGCTGAACTGGCCCTCGAACCGGCAGCCTTCACCATTGTTCAGAGGGATTTTCATCGAGTTGTCAATATGTCCGACTTCATGTCTCCCCATCTCATCCTGGATGTCCAGTCCAACCACTTTGACGTACCCAGGGAACAAAAAGAACACAGGGAGAGTCGCAATCAGAGAAAAGGGTGAGGGATGGGGGCTATCCCCATGGGTATTTATTGCAAAGCATCTATCACCTGTTCAGCTGGACAGAAGGAAGACAGCCAGGTATAGGAGTAAGTAAGAGAAGGCCTCTTTAAATCTAAGGAAACACAGACTTTCCCTTTAACTCAGAAGTTTGGCTTAAAATAAGCAGGCGTTTCCATGGCATGTCGGCACATTCCAAGACACCGATGAAGGACGGCTGGGAGTAACTTGGGAGTAAGGGTTCCTTGGTTTCAACACCAGGGTATTGCATAGTCCCAAATGTGGAGTGACACTGTGTGTGTGTGTGTGCGTGTGTGAAAAGAAGAGTAAGAATAAAGGACAATAGACCTAGGGAACCCTTCAAACTTAGGTAGAGACATCAGAGGATATCCAAATCCTGGAACCAAAAATGCTGATGTGGGCTGGCTGCTTCACTGTGTGCTCCCAGAGTGAAAAAGGGTCTAGGGAAAAAAATCCCTTTCTACTATGCTAATGCTACCAGGTCTCCTATGTGACTAAAATTTTCCTTCTTTCAGGAGCACTGTTTCTGCAACTCTGGAATTAAAGGTCTAAGGCCAAATTTATTTTTCTAATTGAAAGAAAAAAAAACATATTTGAATTGCACAGGGTTCCTGGTTCTGCTCTTACTCTGAGGTGAAAAAAAAATGGTGTAATTCCCATCTGAAGGCCCAAAAGCAATAATGAGGATGAATTCTTCATTCAGATTTTGGTTTTTCACCAAGCTACTCTAACCCACAGTAACCCCTCTTAACAGATGTCAAAGAGGAAGTGTCATTTGAGGGCAAATGACTTAGCAGGGACTCACAGGGCCAGGGACTTTAGATTCTGGGGGTAGAACTGAAGCTTACTGTGGCCTTGGGAAGTTGCCCGATCTAGAGCAAAGGTAGAATGTTAAGGGAATTAAAGAGGCATTTGTGGTACTCACATTCACAGTGTAAATTCGGCAAACTGATGTTCAGACTGACATCTATTTTGCCTCCACTGTCTTTATCTGGATCGTCAACATATAGCTCGTTCACTCTGTGGGAGAGATAAGCACAGGGACCTTCATTGTAACAGATGCACACCACCTCCCCTGCTCCCCGACAAGGCATCGTACAATTGGTCCTACTCCTCTGCCTCTGCACTGTGTACAACTGGGCTTTTACAGTATTTTCCTATTTTAAAAGTCTTTGATTGTTAAGCCACAAATCAAAGCCATAAGGGGAAGAAGCTCAGTTGGTGATTTATCCCTAATATTTGGGTAGTGGTATCAGTGAAGATAATCATGTACTCCCCTTAATATGTCCCTTGCTTAATGTTGCTTTATACTGCCAGAGAAAGAAGACTAGAAGTGAAGTGAACAGAATAATAATAATTTATACAATGACAAAAACATAATAATTTCGAAGGACTTCAGAACTTGGATCAATACAAATCATGAGTCTGGAGGAATAAAGATGAAACATGTTAACTACTTTCTGCCAGAGAGGTGCTAGACTTAAAATGCAGAAAGAGACACACATTTTCAGATATGAACAGTGTGGGAATTTGTTTTGCTGGACTATGCATGTTTAGGATGAGTTTTTTTTTCTTTTCCTTTTAATTTTTCAATTGGGAGGGAAATGGGATGAATCCCTCCTGCAATCTAGCTTCTCATGCAGGTCAATCAAATATTTTTGAGTGAGCAACTGATTTATATTTAAAGACTATATGTCCATCAACTGGGGAATAGCTGAACAAATTGTAGTATATGATTGTGATGGAATACTACTGTGCTTTAAGAAATGATGAGCAGGATGCTCTCAGAAAAATATGGAAAGAGTTACATGAACTGATGCAAAGTGAAATGAGCAGAACCAGGAGAACATTGTACACAGTAACAGCAATAACCGTATGATGATCTACTATAAATAACTTAGCTATTCGCAGCAATACAATGATCCAAGACAATTTTGTAGGGCTTTTGATGAAAGGTGCTGTCCATCTCCAGAGAAAGAACTGGTACTTTTTCTTTACCTTCTTCATTTTTTTTTGTCTCTGTTTTCTTTCACAGAATAACTTACATGGAAATGTGTTTTGCATAACTACTTGTTTGCTTTCTCAATGAGGGGAGAGGGAGGGATGGAGAAAATTTGGAACTCAAAATTTGAAGAAAGGGAATGTTAAAATTGTTTTTGCATGTAACCTGGAAAAAATAAAATGTTAAATAAGATAAAAAAGACTATGGAAGAAGAGACGAGATAAAGAGAAGGCTCATACAGAATGAAGTATTCTCTATTATGTACTCAATGTTCTGGCCAAATAAAAATATTCTCAAATTTATCAATCAATCAACAAACATATATTCAGTACTGATTCTGTTATGCACTATACCATGTTCTAGGTATTACCAAGACAAAAATGAAATAATATCTCCCCTCAAGGAGCTTACCCTTTATAAGGGGAAACAATGTGCACAATATGCACACACATGAGCCATGTATGAAGTAAATAAGAGGTGACACAGAACAGTAGATCAAGAGGTAGGCTCTGAGTTTGGGTTCCAGTGCTACCTTTGACAAATACTGTGTGATTCTGGCTAAGTCACTTAACCTCCAAGTTCCCCCAGGTACCTCTCTAAGACTCTAAATTGCAGAACAGATGCTGATTTTATTGGTAGAAGGAGTTTCCACACTGGAACTCTCTCTACCAATAACATCACAGGTCTAGTAAAAAAAATAACAAAAATAAACACAAAGTTTTTTGTTTGTTTGTTTGCTTGGTAGGGGAGGAGCTAGCAGCTGGAGAGATCACAGGTTCACAGATATATGACCAGAAGGGACCTCAGAGGCCCATTAAGTCCAACTCCATTAAATTTCCTCATTTTCTAGATAAGGAAACAAAGCCCAGGGAAGTTAAATGATCTGTCTAAACCTTAGACAAAGGATAAACAAATAATAAAAGGATTTGTTTTGTGAAGTTTGGATTCAGTCAAAGGGCTACACTTGAGGACCTGGAGGGCCACATGGGGCTTCGAGGCTGCAGGTTCCCCACATAGGTCTAAGGTCACATAGTATCAGAGGCAGGATTTGAACCCGTTCTTCTGACTGAGATAAGCCTCGAAGGAAATGAGATTCTAAGAGATGGATCCTAAGAGGGTGAGGAGGGCATCAGTGTTTACAAAATCATGGAAATCGGAGATGGAATGTTGTGCATGAAGAATGGCTAGAAGGCCAGGGCGGCTGGCCTACAGAGTATGAAGGAGAAGGCTGGATGTGAAGACCTTTAAATGCCAAGCAAAGGTGTTTGTATTGGATGGTAGAGGCAAGAGAGAAGCTTTGGAGTTTACTGAGCAGGGGAACGAAATGGTCAGATTGGTGCCTTTGTCATGCCATGCTTTGGCATCTCAGTGGAGGACAGCTTGGAGAAGGAAGAGATCAGAGCAGAGAACTCAATCAGAGATCAACTACTACTGTCTAGGTGAGCAGTGAGGACACCCTGAACTAGGGTACTGACGGTGAGCAGGGAGAAATGTGACTTGTCACATTTGTGATCTGGCGGCTCACTGGATTTGTGGGCTGAAGGAGAATGACATGTCGAGGGTGACTTCAAGGTTGTGAAACTGAGTAACTAGAAAGATGGTGGTATCCTTATTAGAGACAGGAAAGTTCAGGAAATGAGTAGGTTTGGGGCTTTGTTGTGGCACAACAAAGTTTTTTTGTTTTGTTTTGTTTTTTGGCTAGGCAATGAAGCTAAGTGACTTGCCCAGGGTCACACAGCTAGTAAGTGTTATGTGTCTGAGTCCATATTTGAACTCAGGTCCTCCTGACTCCAGGGCTGGTACTCTATCCACACCACCTAGCTGCCCCCACAACAAAGATTTTGAGATACCTACAGGGAATATGGTTTCAAATGTCCAACACGCAGCTTGTGATGAAAGACTGAAGCGCAAGAAAGAGAAAAGAGATGGATATATGGATCTAGGAATCATCTGCATAGAGATGACTGCACACATGGGAGTAGATGAAGGAAAAGAGGGCTGAGCACAGAACCCTGGGCTACGTACGCTAAGTAAGGGAGTAAGATAATGATGATGATTCACCAAAGAAATCTGAGGAGTGTTCAGCCAGGTAGAAGGAGAATCAAGAGCAGGAACGTTACCTCAGATGGGAGACAATATCTAGGAGGAGAGATGGGCTAACTGCATCAAATGATGCAGAGGTCAAGAAGAGTGAGGATTAACTGATAAATAGAAGTATGTATAGGAAAATTTTACATATAAATATGTATATGTATGTTTGTATGTATATGTGTGTATTATAGATAGATAGATACAGAGATACCTATTTGTGTCTAATGGTAGTCATTTCTAGGGCAGGGAGTTGAGGGGAAGGGAAGAAAAAATGAAATTTACATGATAATTTGAAAGGAATAGCAAGTTGTGCATAGCAGATTTGAAGTTTAATGTACAATTATCTTTTTTTATTGTACTGTTATGAAAATCCTTGTTTTTATTCTATAAATCAAAAATAAAATTTAAAAAAAAAGGAGTGAGGATTGATAAAAGGCCTTTGGCTTTGGCAATGAAGAGATTACTGGTAACTTTGAGGAGAATTTGATTTGAGTGATGAGGTCAGAAGCTTGATTGAAAATGGTTGAGAAGTAAAAAGGAAGAGAAGAAGTGGAGGCAAAGAGCCAGGTAACTTTTTCTATGAGTTTAGCTACAAAAAGGAGGAGAGATAAAGAATAGAAGCTTGAGGGGGTAGCAGGGTCAAGTGGAAGTTATTTTAAGGACTGGAGAGACCTGGACATATTTTTAGGTAGGAGGGAAGGAGCTAGTAGAGAATGAAAGAATGAAGTTTAGAGGGGGTAGAGAGAAATGACTGTGGAAGAAATGAGCTAGAAGGGAAGGAACCAAGAATACAAGTGGGTGGGAAGTGATAGTGATGAAAAAGAAAAAAAGAAAAAGAAATCATCAATAAAATATTAAAAAATACACTAAAAGCAGAAGTTCAGACAAAAAGGGCTCTTTTGTAATTATTGTGCTTAATATAAACTTTTAAAGACTGTACACAACAGAAGTCCACAGTTTCACATACAATTCTCCCTTCCTATTCTTTTTTTTTCCTTTTTTTTGTAAATTGAAATGTTCATCTTTGTCAAGTTCATTAAAAGCAAAAAGTACATTTGGAAGAGTTGATCTTAGTAAGGAAATGGGCCATCTTCAGAGACTGGTGTAAAATATATAGAAAGGGAGTGAGGAATAATAATGATACTACTACTACTAGTACTACTACTACTACTGCTACCACCACCATTTATATAGTGTCTACTATGTGCCAAGCACTGTGCTTTACAAATATTATCTCTTTTGATCATCACAACAACCCTGGGAGGTAGGTGCTATTATTATCCCTGTTTTACAGATGAGGAAACCGAGGCAAACAGGGGAAGGAGACTTACCCAGGGTCACATAGCTAGTAAGTGTCTGAGGCTGGATTTGAACTCAAGAAGATGAGTCCTCCTGACTCTAGGCCAGGCACTATATTCACTGCACCACCTAGCTGCCCTAAAAGTTAATTTTGTTTTTAAAACTACCTGAGTAGCTTTTGTAAAATGTTTTTTTTGGGGGGGGGGGGCGTGTTAAAATAACAACAACCCTGGGCTAATTAATTCCATGGTCAACAGAACTAGGTTGTGCTAACAGGCAAAATAGCTACTATATATGGTAGTTGAAAGAATTCTGTCTTGACAATGTTGGAATCTGGATTACATGATTTCCTGCTGCCCCTTCCAGACCTATCAGTTTCTGAGTCTGTGAGCTAATCGCCTGGCCCTATTAATTCAGGCAAAGGCCCAAATGTCCTCTCCAAGCAGGTCTCCCTTCTTCAGTCTTGCTCCTTGGTAAATGTCATTTCTCCATATATTCTGGCAGTACCAGGAAAAGGGAATAGAGCTAGCCCTGATCCTCTGGAGCATCCAGATAAACCCGTAGAGATAAATGCCCTTCCCTCAGGTCGAGCTCACATTTTAGGCCCCGAAATAAATTGGACACGTTA